ATATAGTGAAGTGAAGAATTCATATTATTATATTCGAAGTCTGTAAATCGCTTTTTTATCTTCTCAACTCAGATTTCTGGAAGGCGAATTATGGTTCGATTTCTAGCATATTAACGACATGCTCTTGATGAATATAATATGCACATTATCGGTGTAATATCTCCTACAATGGGAAATGTGGTACTATAGTCATTTGTCAACTAGGCCAAGCCCGTCCCATCAGCTTTTCCATCAGTCCAATTAATAGACTTTTCTAAGCTTTGAGTTCGCATGATTTATCTTTCGGTTCTCAACATCCTGCTGCTCACGGTGTTTCACGATTAGTATCGGTGATGAACGGAGAAGTGGCAGAACGTGTGGAACCACATATTGGATCACTCCAGTGCGGCATGAAGCCGCTGATGCCAAGTCGGCTCCACATCGATACAATGACCAAATTATAACAAATACGTTTAAATTCAGTGATCAAAACGTAGGTTAGTAGCCAATATGAAATCTCGCGAAATGTTAGCAATTCTGTTTCGTTGTCAATCTAATCCTACCAAAGAGGCAAATACAATTTGAAAACTATTCTGTTAGAATTCAATAGCAAATAAAGGTTTCAAATTAATAGATTGAATATTTCACTTACATAACGAAAGATGAAAAATAAAAACCCGAAAAAAAACGTTTATATGCCTGGAAAGCAACACTTACATGGCCAGCAACCGCAAGCTCACCCATTGCTTTTGCATCAGCCCAATCTGTGGCTACCATAAGAGTCCTTAACTCCACAAAACAAAACTGCCTAGCCCCCAATTCACTCACCAACCCACTAGCATCAGACACGTCAATAGTCCAATAGACAACATCATCCTCGTACTTACAACCCAAATAAACCAACGAATCCTCACTGAGAGTCACTTCTGAACTCTCCAAGAAATCCTTACACTCCCTCAAACTCAACCACCCCAGATGCCAATTAGGCCCATCAGCAGGAGAATCGGCTGTCGTCCCGGCCAAAGGCTTTCCCTTTCTGAAAGGCAAGACCTTGAAATCAGGGGAAATGGGTTCTTGACTGTGGCTCAAAAGTAGGGTCTTGAGAGTCTGAAATGCAGATTGTGGAGAAAAGGGGTCAGTTTGTTTTGGGGTTCTTGATCTTATAGGGTTGCCTGCAAAGACATGAGAGATTCGGCTCATGGTGTAGAGGTGGAAGGGGTGAGAAGAAAGGGTTTGTATTTTGGTCCTTTTGGAGAGGAGGTTTGTGATAATAGTTGAAGAACAGAGCATGATCCTTGAATTTGGTTCCCATAGGTCGCGTTTGACGAGGTGGAGATTGGAGGTAGTTGGTGACTCAATTCAGTTTGTGAAATGTAATAGTGACAAGTGGATTTTTTCCTTCATTTGGGGCTGGACATTGTTGTTTTGTGGGAAAGCCACATCTTTTGTCTTAAAAGTTAAAACTTAGGAAAATTGCAGCGTAGGTTCCCAATCTTTACAACATTGTCCTCAGCTTATTACTTTTGTCGAGATAGAATTAGATCGATCAAGTGAACACAATACATTCCAAATCATCCTAGTCTAAACGAAATGTAACATATGTCAATTGTTACAACTCATTTTTTAAGTCAAAAGTCAAACGTTGACTTGTCAAAGTCATAGTCAAATAGGATTTAAGTGAAGCAAATTATTTTCTTGGAGTTTATTTTGCAATGGATAATATATGAGGGTTTAAGATGGATTGGATTTGAAGTTGAGGATTTACTTCTACATCATTTGAAGTTAAGGGACTTCCTTTGCAAAAGCCCCACTAATTTATCAATTGAAACCCATTTCTTTTCATTTTTACACGCACGAGCAGCTCGAGGGCAGAAACAGAGGTTGAAGATCGAAACAAAGGAAGGGAGAAGAAAGAAGGAGAAGAAGAAGAGTATATGGGTACTTTAAGCTTGAATTTTATTTTTTATTCTCTTTATTTTTTTCAAGAGGTGGAGAAATATTTTGTTGATTTTTTAGGGTTTTAACTTGGTTCGAAAATTCAAATTTAGGGAAATGATTATGATTTCTAGTTCAACTTTCTTGATTGCTTAGCTTCCATTTGAATCAAGGTAAGGAATTCAATTTTTGGGCAAACTCTATAATTTTTAATTGGATTCTTAGCCCCTATTTGACCACATTAAATTCCATTACATTACATTAAATTTTTATCTCTCTTCATTACAATCACACATTCATCAAATAAAATAATATTACACACAAATCTAAGACTTTTCACTACTTTTCCACCACACATTCTCCAATCAATCACTATTTTAAAAACTTTCAACCATAAAAAATGTACAATAATGGGGGCCAAACAGGGGCTTAAGTAGGAATATTTGGTGGAAATAATTGTGATGATGAAATATTCACTTAAAATAATGATTTTATGGAACAAGATGTAAATTAAATTGGCTGCTAGTTTTCACTAGACTGAGATGGGATAATTATTCTTATTTTTGGGATAAAGGTTATGTTGATGAATTCGCTACTAGTAAAGGGACTAGAAAGTAAAATTAGCTCTAATTGATTAAAAGAAAATTTTGAAAATTTATTCAAGTATCGAGAAATTTAATTCAAATATTATGGCATTAGATATTAAAGACTTGTTGATTTTATGGCGGGACTCCACGGGGTATCGGGTTAAACGGGGAAGAGTGGCCGTCAGTGGCTCGACAAGTGGTAGCTGTAGCTTCAGTGGGACCCAGGAGATAGGCTAGGGAACCAATTTTAGTCATAAGAAATTGTAGCAGCAAAGGTATTAAGGACCAGTGAATCTTTTTTGAAGTTGTGAGATGAGATGGGGTGTGGGGGGACAACCCCACAAACAAATCTTTCTCAAGACCACCACTAGCAGTATTCTAGTTCTTTTCAAACATACATCAAGTCAAATGTGGAGAACCAAAATTATGCCTCAAAACAAGACATTTTAGCTTATTTTGGACAGTTTTTAGCCGGTCCTGCAACAAAAACAGGCTCAGTGACAGATTTTGAAACAACACTTGGCGAATTCTCATTGGAAGTTAAAAAAATAATAATACAAAACATTGCCAATCATGGGGCTCACGTTGCAGCCCCTGGAACATGCTCCAGTCATTGAGCCCGTTCGTTTGGTTTAATTCGTTATTAGCTCACTTTAGTTCCCAAAATTAGCATTTATCCTAATCAGACCGAAAGAAAAGAACGAATTATATTTCTTTGCTTGATCATTTGATCGAAGTCGAGGGCCCAAGGAATGGAGAAACCAATCGAGAAAAAAAGTTGAATTGACTCTCTACATAGTTGCTCAAAAAGAGGGAGCATCTGGTTCTTATCTATTGTAAATTATTAAGATTTCTTTTCATACGAGTTGATATTATGCTTTTCTAAAGGAACCAATCCTCTGTTGCTCAAGAACAAGAATTGAACTACTAATCCAGATTCTGTGAATCTTAACATTTTCTGAATCTTATTGAACTATACTCTAACCAAACGTTTGGTACACTGTTAAACTACACTACCGAGATAATCTTGTGGCGATGCCTTTGAATTTCTGCATAGACCTAACTAAATTTCATCGATCAAATGTGTGAAGGGTTAAAAAAAAAAACACATTGCACCATTCAATGAAGTTAGAAATCCTTCTTAACTGTTTGAAGAAGTACATTGAAAAAACGAAATAAAACCAAGTCTCCCAAAGTTACGGGCCTATTTTGCTCGAGTTCCTAGAGAGAGTTGTTAAGGATTGTAACTTCTGGTCATTCTCTGATACAATAAATGTAGTTCTTGCTTAGTTCACTTTCTCATAGTGCTCCTCCTGAAAAGAAACATAAAAAGAGAAATATATAAGTTTCTTGAATCAAAAAACTTTATTTGTAGTGATCCAAGTCTGTGCCCAAGCTATTAACTAAAAAGTACTATTCGGTTTGGAAAAGTATGTGCCCATCTTATCCTTATTTCTTTCGTGTTCCCCATGATTTGATCATTTACCTTATGAGAAACTTAAGTTAAATTCTAGTACCAATTAAGCAAAATAAATTTGAGAAGGGATAGATGAGTATAGACTTTTCCAAAATGGACGGTACGTATGAGTTAACGGCTTTGGCAGATGTTTGGGTCATTACAACATTGTAGCTAGCAATTATTTTTATTGTAAATTGCTTACAAAAATCCTTAGGTGTCTTGCATTTATAGCACTCCGTCCTGCTAGCATAATTGTGCACACCACATCCTAATCTGGTCATACATCAAATACACTCATATTAGATATAGAAATCCAATGAAATTACATACACATATCTCATTCACTTATTAAGCCCCTCTCTGTGTGCACGTGTGCATTTCTGTCTGCAATCGTGTGTGTATGCTTGCACGTGTGGTGTGTTAATGTCAATATCCTTTGTGTCACATAATCCCTCTCCCTTTATATAGTCCAAAATTAATGTTATCTTATTGTTGAACCATCTCATTTAAAAACTTATGCCATTAAAGAAAGAATGGATTTACCTGGTGCAAATCCAGTCGCCAGTTTTCCATCCGGGAAGCACACTGGTGTCGTATGCATAACCAGCAGGTGCCGTCATTCCAGCGCCGTATCCACAATAATCTCTTGATCCACCACATCGATAGCAGCTTGCTCGACTTGCATAGTTATGTGAACCGCAATTCAAAGCGCCACAATACCAGTCTCCAGCCAAGACTTCTGTTCTGTTTATCCCATAGGCAGACACATCGGCTTCGGTGGCGTATTTAGGACAGCTACATCGTTGGCACGACTCGCGTTTCTTGAAGTTGAGATGCTGGCATGCAGCACACATCCAATCTCCACTACTCATTCTGTATATTTGTATCTGCAAATGGAAAGCCAATATCAGTAAGAAGAAAAATACGAATTTGAGCTACAAAATAAGCTTGTCTATATGCTGTCTAGTCCAGTTGAGTACTACACCTAAGTGGCATAAAAAACAAGCACATAAGAGAATTAAGAAGATCTCTTCAATGCAGGAAGAACAAGGACTCACCTGAAGAAAGATGAATGAATAAAAAGAAAAGTTTGCTGTTTGGCAAGTGTATTAATAGAAGAATAGATTGCTTGGAGTGAAATGAAATGGCAAATGAGCTAGGGCAGTTTATATACTTGTTAAGGCCTTGTTTGGTGGGACCCTAAACTTACTTTCTCCTTCTAATGTAAGCTTGAGATGATTTCCTATGGGATTCCAAAAGCTGAAATTTTGAAAGATTTCTTTTGGATGAGGAGACATGCAGGGGAGGGTTTGAAGTTGAGCTGCCCTGTGCATGGATAGAATAACTTAACTTTCAAACTTAGGAGCAATAATGCTGCTTTTTTGTTTGATTCCCAATGCATTATTTTGTAAAGAGTTTGAAGTATTCTATATTCTGTATCCATTTCAGGTAAGGTGTTATGAGGGGAAGACGTTATTTGCGATGTGAGAGGATATTCATACATGGATGGCTCTAGTGGATGACGTGGAATAAGACGTGTGCATACTGTTGTAACATAAAATTAAAAGTTTTAAATTTCAAATTAATACATTTTTAATTTTCAGATTTAATACTAAAATTAAAAATATTAATATTAAAATGTAAGTTATATTTGAGTGGTTTAATGTGGGGGGTTGAAACTTTACCCATGAAAGGGATTGACTTTTAAAACATGAAATATAAAATTTGAGAAGAAAACTAGAATATAATCAAAGTACTCCCCTTGTTTTCATATTATAAATATTTTTTTTTATACTTTTCGCAACTCGATAAAGGTTCGTTCTTTATCTCTCTATGATCGTGCTCATAGGATGAGAATCGGTTGTGAGCCACATGTATTTTATCTTGGAGCCGTGTAGTGCTGAAAGAACCTGTACGAAGGGGAAGCAACACGATTTTAAGACAGCGTTCTTGACGTGACTCTCAAAGGCTTACATTCCTAATTCTATCTGCTTATATTTTATGTGCATGTTATTGTATAATTCTTATATTTATAATTATAATTGAATTATATTTATTAATGTTATGTTTATATTATTTATTAATTATGTTAATTGATAAATATCTACATACAAATCACCTATTTTTTCCAACACATACATGCATTCCACGTAGGCGACATATATCCCTTCTTGATGAGTAGGCTTGTCCACATGGTTGAGGTTCAAATCAGAAAACTGTGGCAAATGGGAATCAATTCCTTATAATGCACATCCATTGCCAAATTCCATTCCTCTTTGCAAGGTTTGATTCCCTTTTTCGCAATAATTCAAAACCCATTTGAAGATGGATGTCCACTGGCACTCTTTGCGTCACCAACTCACTCGTATGTGCATATGTATGTATGTGTGCGTATCTACTGCAATTGAACCTGCTTTGAGGTCGATTTTATCATCATCTTTTGCCCATATGGCTAGTCAAAACCTCTAGCATAGTTTAAATCTCTAGTCGAATAACTTCCTTTTAATTTCGTTTAGATGGGTGTACTTCGATACTTGACTTGCAATGAATCAACAAGAAGGAAGCCTAATCCCAATTATTTAACACATTCTACGTTAAATCTTCAACAAAGGTATATTCCGAAAAGCGACCGTTATAATAGACTAATGTTTGCTTGAGCAATACTAACTTCTTCAAATCAATTCTTAGTTGTATTGAATTTTCAGTGTGCTGTGCCCCTGAGACAAACAAATTAAGAGGAATAGATGGCTTGTTTAGTCCTATGATGCTTTCAAATAGATTCATGAACCAAATTTGGAATTACAACTTGCTAACTTTGCACTTATTGCACACAATATTAGGATTGGAGGAGAATGGGCATTCATATGCTTGGAATACTTGAACTGATGCATAAGCGAAATCGAAGGGGTAGGTTGAAAGGTAAAGATAACGTGATTGATTGGCTTGTTCGAACGCCTCCGGCGAAAAGACAACTTAAAAGTAACAAGGTTCTGAAAAATAAAAAAAAACCTTAAAAGCTATAGACATGCACACTAAAGCCAAATCTTACGTCTAATTTAGAGGTATCAAAACTTATCGAGAGTCATGACAGTCTTGACTCTAGAGATCTACAGCCATATATATGTAGGCTTGCTGCCAAAAAAGATCCGTGCCAAGTCATCTCAAGACCTGCATAGCCTGATCGACACCTCTAGGCTCGTTGGAGTCGGGAGCTCTACAATTAGATGTGTCAATTAGGGCATGGCCACCGGCAGTCCAGGTGGCCAATCCTAGGGCTGGCCCGCCTAGTGGACTGACCCGAGCACAACCTCAGCGATGAGGTGCTGTGGGCCTAAGGGTCAGCCATAGGGTCCACCTTTTTTAATATTATAATGCATGCTTAGCAGCATTTGTAAGTGCATTAGTGCATGGTTAGCAGCATGAATTCAGTGCTTTTATGCAACTTAATGCACTAGTGCATGCTGCTAGGCATGCAAATAAAAAATTGAATTCATTTTTAATGAAACTGAAAACACAATTTTTTTATAAAAGAATATTGTGAAAACTGCTCGGCCTGGACATGGCCCTTTGACACACCTACCATGATTTGACAATTAAGGACATGTTCAGTCTGTAACATGATTGTCAAATTCCCAATTCGAATCTTAAGATCCTAGGATTTTACTATTCGAAAATGATATGACGATCCGATCCTATTGTGGGATCTTAAAATTGTAGAATATTATGATTTAATTGCTGGATTTTACTAATTCTTACTATCTCTATTTTTCATCATTAAAAAGTTTTTTTTTTTTAATCTTTCATAAATTAAGTGAACTGGATTGTTGGATACTTTAGTTGAGTTTCATTTTGAAATAAAGCACAAATCAAAGCTTCAGTGGAAACAAAGGAAAACAAAATTGCAAAAATTAGAATGCCTAATACGAAATCTATTATCAATTTTAATATAATGTATTGCGCGCGCGTGCTTTTTTTTTTTTTTTTAAATTCTAGTTTGTTGAAAATCAATTATTGAATTGGACTTGGTTTCTGAGCTCATAATATTGTGATTTTTTTCATTTATTTATGGTTGTGAATAATTGTATAAATATTCATGGGGAATATTGGGGATTGCTGTTCATAAATTTGTCACAAAAATTAATTGGAATTTGAAATTTTTATTTTAAAAATAAACTGAAATAGAAGTATACGTTGATTTTGATTTTTGGTTCAACACTTATTTGTTATTAAAAAATAGGGATAATTGCAGTAGATGTATCAAATATTTCATTTAGTAGTAGAATTTGTTCAAACCTTTCATTTGTGCTACTCACGGTACCAAACCTTTCAAAAATTAGCACATGAGATTAAATGGATGATTTCTGTTAGTTTGACTGTTAGTTGACCTAATAATCGATATTGACAATAATTTTAACTAATTTTAAAAGGTTAAAATTGTAACTTTACATTTTTTATAATAAAATAACTAAAATAAAATAATTAAAATTAAAAACCAAAAAACCAATTTCTTTTTCTCCATCCACCCCAAAACCATCACCACTACTGGATGGCTCAACTGCACCCACCCAACATCGACACTATTGAGTACTGACATCTCCTCCATTTCCACATTCATTTCCATCATCCAACAATCTTTTCTTTCCCGAATCTTCAAACCCCAATATACTCATCAACTCAACCACTGATGGGTACCCAATAAACCCCTCAATTAGACGACAATCATTGATTAACCTCAAATTATCATGCTTCTCCCAGTCACAGTTTTGCCAGAGCACCGAGGATTCAATACAATAGTATATAGAAACAGGCGAAGAATGGCATTTGTTGCAAATGAGACAACGTGTGTATTTCTTGAACAACGGGTTTGTTGAGTGCACTTTCCTGTCGCAACCCAAACAGAGCTTAGTGGAATTAGCTATACAGTACAAAAGGGCCTTGGTTTCTCCGCATAAGTCGCACGTGCAATCTTTAGTATCAGCAACAGTACTATTTTCTAGCTCTTTTATAAAATTCATGGTTGATTTTGTGGGATATTTCTGGTATGAAATTGCAACGAGTGATCAAAGTTATTTGGAAGAGAAATAGTAGAGGTTGACAGGAGAAGTACAAAACTTATCACCAATTATTCCATGCCCCGTATCCGAACCTGACGCCAATACTGCATCCCAATGCCCAACACGATTTTGAGGCGGTTCCCTGGCAAACCATCAACCCGACTACGCCTGATATTCTCATTTCCAGTCCAATGTCGCACCCTTCAGAAGATGAAGGAGATGTTGTGGAAATGGAGGAGGTAGAGGATATGGCAATGGCATTGGCGTTGGGTGGGTGCAGTTGAGTCGTCCGGTAGTTATAGTAATGGTTTGGGATGGGGGAGAAGAAGAAGAAGAAGGTTTTTGATTTTTGATTTTAATATTTGATTTTAGTTATTTCATTATAAAAAATGCAAAGTTATCATTTTAACATTTTAAAATTAGTCAAAATTATTGTTAAGGTCAATAATCTAGTCAACTAACGGTCAAACTAACAGAAATCATCCATTTAAACCTCATGTACTAATATTTGAAAAGTTTGATATCGTGGGTGGTACAAATGAAAGATTTGAACAAAATCTGCTACTAAATGAAATGTTTGGTACTGCTGCAATTATCCCTAAAAAATATTTAGACTTTTATGATGTTTTAACCGTACTGAACAAGAACATACAATAATGGGAAAAGTAGATCCAAATACTGACCATGTTTGACCCTTTTTTAAAAGAGATTTTAAGCTGGCTAAACTTTATTTTAACCACGAAATCAACCCATTTATAGAGACTTTTTCAAATAAGGGCTTAATTTAAATTGTTCACCACATATAATTCAGTGGCCAAATTGAAATGAAAAAGAGATTTACAATTGGGAGTTGACATGCAACTCTGTGGAACACTTTTGATTGAGAAGATGGGGTCCATATTTTACTTACGTGGCAACATGGATGATGACGTGTTGACCTCGGATTTGATAAGGAAGAATCCTAATCACAAATTTTAACCAGACAAAAATGAATATTCTTACATTAAAAACCTTAGACAAAGTTCTTTGCTTTATTCTATGTAGGTTGTGACCATTCTCAAAAAGGGGTCTAATTCTCCTCAATAATACTTATAAGAATCCACATCCTAACCAGTGACGAAAAAAATAGCCCCGGCTTTTGAATTTCGGATATTCCTATCTTAATTATAACTTAATTGTGCAATAGTGTGGGCCAATTATGTCGAGATAATGATATTCTATGTTATATATGTACTATTCGATAACGGCTATATTTTCAATTTTAATTGAATTTTAAGTTTAGCCTAACATGCTCATAATATTTGATATAGAGATTTCAAAACAAGTTGGGTTGGTCGAACCAACCTACATGCATGTAGACTTAGCTCAAGCACGCAATAGGCTAGCTCAACCCGTCAACCGTCTTCAAAATATGTGGACTAGATTGGTCAGCGAACCCGCCAATATTGTGGCTAGCTGGGCCACTTTACGCCAACCCTTCAATTTTTAGTTGCAAAATACGCCGTTTAAAGTATGTGAAATCAAATATAGATACTTTACATGTAGAAATTATCAATAATAGTATAAATTTTTTTTAGTGAATTGAGCCAATAGGGCCGGTCCCATAGGTCGTTAGGTAGAAAAACTCAACCAGATATGACCACAATAATTGACGGATCAACCTGTGAACCAACTCAAAGTAGGTTAGACTGGTTTCGATCCGATTTTATAATAGACTAGGTAACTTCTACGTGGTTCACTCATCCATTTTGATATTACTAAATTAGACTGTTTTGCAAGTGAAAGAAATTAAAATTATTTGCCGTACTATTTCTTTTTATTCAATATTACTTATCAAACAAATTGATAGTTTCACACAAATAATGAAGCATGTGGTTTATTCCGATGCAAACCCTAATTGTCACCTCATCAACCTACACTCTCAAATTGATGATTTTGATTTCGACAAGAATAGATGGAATGGGTTTCATATGCCTTTAGTGGGCCCAATTATTCCATCCAATATTTTCACATGCTTTTATGGACATCAAAATTTCTTTGCAGCGGACTTGTCACCAGTTTAAGAGAGATTGAAAGAGATATTCGAAACTTTTAAATTAGTTATTATCTCAAAAAATAAAAATAAAAATTCTTTAGAAGTTAAAAGAATGAATAAAGACAATAATATTTATTTTCGAAATAATTATGTCAAGAAAGATAGTAAACAAAAATTACCATCGACAAGTCTGATTGCAAATAAACTATTCATACGGTTGAAAAGCAATAATTGATACATGCATATGCAGAAAATCGAGACACAAAATAATGTACGAAGGATACAAAAATAACAAGAAGAATTAGATTATTTTATACCGTCCATGATATAGAAACAAAAAGGATAAAATAAAATAATTCATTGTGCCCATAATTTACGTGCTCTTTTTTGAAGAGAATGGAATCAAAATATCTCTGCAGGAATATCTTTGATAGGATATTTTCCTCAACGATTGGCTTACTCTAACATGGAAGTTCATATCTATATACTGAATAATATAATGAATAAAATTTTAACATTTTTCTTCTTCAACTTTATTCACAATATCGTTCAATCTTCTTTAATAAGCATGTTGTTACGCTTCTTCCAACGAGACTTCAAGCATAGCCACGTGACAAGAATACCTCAGATGAAATTGAGTCCGCACTTCACGTCATTTTGCCCATGCGGCAATTTTGGCCAAATTTCTATGGAGAGGCCGAATCCATGTGCTTGGTCCAAGCCCTTATGGATGAGGCAAGGTAATAAAGGGAGGTGAGGTGCTGCAAAGGATCTTTCGTACAAGATCTTTCGTTTATGATTGATGCGACAACACTCTGCAGTAGCAATTCTACCAGATCAACACTTCAAGTCTAGGGCTAACCGATTGAATGCGGCAAAACCTAGGATTGATTGATTGCAATCTATGACAAGAGGCTTCAACCGCTATGATGAGTTCAATGTCTCCTCATCCAACGACTCTTACTCATCTTCTTCTACTATAAAATCTCGCACTTTTCTCCGTTCTAAGATAATGCAAGTTTAGACTTTCAAGCTACAACTTTGGTCTCTATATTCCTTACATATTCTCTCAAAGTCGAACCCCTTTTACACAGTGACTCACGTCTAAAGCACGTCCCATGTTTAAATACTTATATCATCAACTGACTTGATCGTCTAGCACGTGTGGCTGATGGTTTGTCCTAGCGTGCAAGAACAGGCTTACGTGGATGTGAGAGATTTTAAAATCTGTTGACCATGTCCCCTATAAAAAACAAGGTCAACACAAGTAGTGATATGCATAATCTACAAGATGTTTACAGTTTTTTATTGATTGGAGCATTTTTGTAAATGGTATAGATAGAAACATAGAGTTGAATATATAATTTTTAACATTTGTTTGGCCTAACTTATTGAAAAGCATTTTTTTTTTAATTTAGGGAAAATTGAAGCAACGTTCCCTAACTTTTCCCTTTTTTACAGACTTTACCATAATTTTCACTTTGTGCTACCCAAAGTCCGAAACGTTTCAAAAATATGCACCTGAGGTCCAAATAGATGGATCTATTTGGTCGTTAGTTGACCAAAGAAGTCAAAATTTAATCAATTTTGACAAAATTAGAAATGGCAAAATGGTACTTTATATTTTCCTTACATTAAATAATTTTAAAAATTAAATTAAAAAATAAAAATAAATCCATCTCCTTCACCAATATTCACCAACCCACTCAACCCCCACCTCAACCCCACCCAAATTTCATATTCTTCCATAGCCGCCGACACCACCACAATCTCCACATCAGCAACTAATTAGCCACCGCCCAAAACCACAACCAATTTTACTGCCTTCAGCCACCGTCCAAATCCACCACCATTCTCCTGCCTTTGGCTACCACCCAAATCCACCACCATTCATCTACCTTTCAGCCACTGCCTTAATCTAAATCTCGAGTCTCCTCTAGATTAATCTCCACCACCATTCAACGCCTGGGAAATTGCTTGATTTGGAGCTCATGTTTGACTGTAATGACTGTTGATTTCATCCTTCAATTGCCCGATTTCATTTGCACAGTACCCATGTTTCATATATACTATTTAGTAGCTTTTGCCACAGGTCTATTAGCCGCTAGATCTACAATAGCTTGGAGAAGAATATGAATATGGGGAGGGTAACTGTAGGTGGAGGTGAAGATGTAGTGGACTTGGCAGAGAGAAGAGAGTGATGGCGTCATGGTCATTGCCGACAAGAAGAATAAGACGATGATGAAGGTGGGTGGGATGAGACTGATGAGTAGGGCATATTAATTTATTTATTTTAATTTAATTGTTCTAATTGTTTTGGTTTTTTAATTTAATTTTAAAACTTATTTAATGGAAGGAAAATACAAATTACCATTTTATCCTTTTTAGTTTGGTTAAAATTGATTAAATTCTGACTTTTCTGGTCAACTAACAGTTAAATTTGGACACCAGGTGTATATTTTTGAAATGTTTGAGACTATAAGTGGTACAAAGTGAATATTATGATAAAATCTGCGAAAAAGTTAAATATTAGGGACCGCTACTGCAATTTTCCCTTGACTTTATTTGCAATCACTTTGTTTCGCGGGTTTTTGCTCGCTAACAATTAAAAAGGGATCAGACGATTGTGTAAGGGACAAATCTCTTGGAACAAAGTCCCAAAAAGGGGTGTTTATTGAATATGAAGATTACAGTTTGGACACGAACAAGATGCCTCCAAGGGGCGCAAGCACACAAGTACAAGGGAATTGAAGTAATTAAAAGTTAATCTAAGAAAAGTAAATTACATGTTCTCTGTTTGAGAGTGATATGCATATGCAGAAAATCGAGACACGAAATAATGTACGAAGGATATAAAAATAACCAGAAGAATTAGATTATTTTATACCGTCCATGATATAGAAACAAAAAGGATAAAATAAAATAATTCATTGTGCCCATAATTTACATGCTCTTTTTTGAAGAGAATGGAATCAAAATATCTCTGCAGGAATATCTTTGATAGGATATTTTCCTCAACGATTGGCTTACTCTACCATGGAAGTTCATATCTATATACTGAATAATATAATGAATAAAATTTTAACTTTTTTCTCCTTCAATTTTATTCACAATATCGTTCAATCTTCTTTAATAAGCATGTTGTT